CCCCAAAACCCCAAAACCCCGTATTGATTTTATTATCAAATTTTGTAGAAATCATTTAAATATTTATAAATAACTTTTCTATATTTATGTCTTTATATTTTTACATATTGTTTTGATCACATAGCTGATTTATATCTTTGAGTCTCTTTTTAAAGCACTCTTTTCTTTTTAAACACTTTTTTATTCTTTGATATGCTTTTCCTTTTAGTTTCTATCAGCTCTTCAGGTATATTTTGTATCATAAAATCTTATCTCTCAGCTATTTAGCTCTAATTCAAAGATGATGCTCTATCAATTTATTTAAATATGACTCTCAAAGAAGTCTGATTATTAAAGCCTGATCCGAAATCCATTGTCTCCTTTTTATCAAATGTTTTTCTTTTTACTGACTCTTTCATTGATCCAGATAAGTATTGAGTTAAATTGCTCTCGTAATCATCAATCTTAGGAATTTTAAGTATTTTTATATTGAGTTTATTCAGGAATTATGCTAATCCTCTCAAAAGAGTAGTAAGAAAGAGGAATATCCAGAGTATCATAAAGTAAGCATTATATAATAGAATCACTATAAATAATATCGTCAGAATATCTTCATTTTTCTACACATCTTTGCTTACAAAAAACAACCCACCATATAATGTTAGAGCCTATAGTTAATTAAGTTAAAATTAAGATTACAGATGCATATGTAGCATGAAAGTCTAATTTATTAAATCTGGGATCAATATATGGTTGAATATGTTTTGTCAGTTAAGCCTAGATTATTAATGGAAAGATCCCAATTAATGCCTAATTTAAATTACATAAATTTTCAGTTAATTTTACCTTGAGGATTTATGAGCTCGATGGAACAAAGACAGAAGTCAATATGAACAAGAGCTTCTTGCTATTAACTATTATTATCTCCCAATAGTAGGCATTATCACTTAAACCAACATAGAAAATTCCATAGAGTTTGAGATTATCTGGGTTGCCAAGTTGTCCCTTTATTCGCTTTAATTTATAAAAGACAATTAGTGGGAATAAAATTGTCCATAAAAAGATAAATGGAAAGCCAATAAATAGTGATATCTATTTGTGAAAATCACCCCAGCATTATATATTCATGTAACTTTAAACATAAGAATTTCCATCTTCATAATCAAAACATTGGAAAATTTAGAAACAGACTGAAATTACAGTTGGATACAAAAGCAATATTATAGCAAAGCAAGTTAATTGAATTTTAGCAGATAGTCTAATTTATCGAAAATATTTTCTAAAGGATAGTTTCATTATAATCCAAACAATAGCAGATATAAGACTAAGTATAATTGGGAGAGCACCGAAGAAAAGCATTTTAGATCTGAATACATCACTCCCTTCAAATCCATACTATTCAAGAGCACAATCAATAGAGAATAAATTTTTCTATGATGAGGAAAATATTGAAAAGTAGCCTAACATCATTTCAACTTAGCTAGGCCATTCCATCTCAAAATCTTTGCAGACCATAATGACTTAGAAATAACTCATTAAAATTCTTAGTAATACAGTTTAAGGTTTGTTCCTCTTCGGATTATTCAACACAGAGCTAAACTTTATAAAGTAAAAATGCTAACTTACTAAAGTATGTATATTATGTAAAGAGCTATGGCTAGTACTAACGCAAGGATAAAGACCATTTAAATGCCAAAAGTCTAGCATTCACTGCAAGAGTACCCACTAGCTCTAGCAAAATGCTTTCCATTGGGGTAAGAAGCACAGACTGAGCATAATTTTCCTGAATACCCCTCTCCACATTGAGAATTAGTCCCTCCCCTATTAAAGTATTAAAAGTTTATTGAGCTAACAGGCATGATGAGGTATGTAAGCATTTAAATACATTTTCACTGTAATTTGATGATCTCCAGTAGTCACTTAATATCACGATCTGATCGCCACCTAAGCAGTCAGCATTGTTTGGACATTTTTTACAAACTTAATCATTTTTATCAAGGCTAAAATAACCTTAGGAGCATTATTAGCATTTTTGATTTAGATTTACTTCGCCAAATTTACATTCTCTAAAATATATCGTTTGATTTAAACTTTAACCATATTCCTCTTGGATATTAATTTTTTAGATTTTTTATTGATCTATTGCACCATTTTCAATGAATATATAGGACTAGTAATTAGGTTTACCTAAGATGCTTAATCCGCTAAAAATGCATGAGCCTCTGCTTGTTTGAATTTTTGATTTACCCTAGATTGATAAGTGTAAATCTTATTAACTATATTCTTTAAGAAAGATATAATATACCCCATGAAACAAATGCTTTCATCATCGATAATAAAATCTTGATCATCTTAATCTAGTAGAGTAAAAATTAATTCTTTCTAAATCTCTTAGCCGCTTGCCATTTGCAGTAGTATATCATTATTCCTCTAATCAGGCATTAGTCTTACAGGATAAGAAGCAAAATCAGGTCCATAAAATGCTTAGTTTGAGTCAAATAAGTTTGCTTTTATATTCTTTGGTCTGTATAGATCATAATATATAGCTCCACCCTTAATTTCAGCTTTATTTTCTGTGAAATTATTGAATTAAATGATTGATGAGCATCCTATGTTTTGATAGTTATTTCAAAGGTATCTTACTTTGATCATTTTGAGTTGAGCATGACATATATAGCGCTCCACCTGTGTCCTTAGCTTTATTTTTAGAAAAATACGAATCGGTAATTGCATAGTCAGCATTTAAGAGATATATAGAACCTCCATCTTCAAAGGCTTGATTCTTGATAAACTGACAGTTCTATATTATTAATTGGGATCTTCCTATGGAATTTATTGGATCAGCAATATAAATGACCCCACCTTGTAATGATTGAAGATTTTAAAAAGTATTATTTATTAATGTCAGTATCGATAAATATGAGTGTATACCTATTCCTTAGCTTAGTTGATTTTAGCCATTTAAGATATTAGAATTTGTTATATTAAGCGTACTTGAAGTTACTTCGAGGAAATTTGAGTTAAAGGATTATACAAAAGCATTTTAAATTTTTCCTTAACTATGAAAAATTCTAATGATTGGCTATCCAGAATAACTTGAAAAATTACTGATGTTTATATCACTAAGATAAAGGTTATTGATATTCATTTGAACAAATGGCGATAATTCATTATTTTGAACATCAATAACATTAATTTCTTTCATTTTGATGTTTGATTATTATGCTAGTATCAAGGGTCCACTAAAGTTTTAAATAGAAAGTATTTTCACTTCTACTGCAGAACCGGAGGAGATGTACATTATTGGGCTTTGAGACGAGGAGTTGAAAATAGTAAAATTCTCCAAACTTAAACTACTCTATGCACATTAGATTAAAGTTCTTGTCATTTGTAAAGTATTTTTGAAAATACTATTCTATATTATTACAATTGATTAAGATTGGAGATCAAATAAAGTTGATTAGTTTTCTACCTAAGATTTTTAAATTACCATAGTACCCTTAATTACATCTATTGAATAACTTTCATTCCTAATAAATGATTCAAGCAAAGATCTAATATTTTATTTCGTTACTATTGTAAGGAAATCATTGGCAAACCTTTGACCGTTAAAATATTGATTATAAAATAAATCTATATCTTTTATATCAGTCTCATTTATTCCGTTCTCTTTAATAAAGCAACTATTTACTTCGAAGTTATTTTAGGAATTTATTATATAGAAAATACTTCCTTTCAAAGCCTAATTAGAGATTATTGTAGAATTATTAATCAATCCTCTACCATCATTTTAACAGTAAATTATTCCTCCTTATACCCCAAAGTTACCTTTGAATATTGATCCATAAACATTGACTTCTGCATCGTTTTATATAAATATAACTCCTCCATAGAAACTGTAGTTATCAATAAACTAAGAGTTAATTATTAAAGTTTTTGAGTTATTCTTCTCAGTAAAAATGATAGATCCTCTACCAAGTCCATAATTATTAACAAATATGCTATCCGAAATAGTAAGATTTGAAAAGCTTTAGACAATAAACATTCCTTCATAGAGACCTTTGTTATTTTAAAATGTCGAATTAATAAACTTGACTTGCTGATAATTCACCATGTCTTATCTAGTGGGTTTTGAGACACAAAATTAACCTTTATTGCCTGAGATATTCATGTTTTAAAATATCAGCAAGTCTGTTAGCTACTATAATAATATTATTGATCCCTGATACACTTAGTTTCTCAATATTAATACATCCTTAAACATTATCTCCATGTTCTTATAAAAGAATCCATTAAATTTAATGAAACTTAACTTCTTATCTAGAACATTGTCAATTATGGTCGAGTTTAATACATGCAGTTTATACTTACTTTAGTTATTTTCATCAATATATGATACCTTTTAGATTTATAAAAACTGAATAGATGAATAAATCTAACTAATATTTGAAAGCATAAGTACAATGGGATTTAAATGACCATGAGCAGGTTATATTAATTGAAAATTAAATACACTATAGTCGTCATAATTTCCAGTTGACAGATTGAACAAATTTACCAGATTTACTGATAATTATTAAACTGAATTCAATAATAAACCATTGTTTGATATTGAAGAGTTACTAATATAAATATCATTTATTTAAGCTATGTCTATTTCTTTCAAAAATATTATGCCAACAGATTAGAGGTCAGAATAAACTACTTAAAATTACTCAATCTAAATGTTTTAAACTTCAAAAACCTATAAGAGATAGCTTTATGTTGATAGGGGATTATTACCATAGATTCTATCAAACTTTAAATTATATACCTTAATATTTATTCCAATCAAATCAAAAGCATTTGAAATACTACTTTAAACTACATTTATATTCTTAATTAGAGAGTTTTCAGCCTGTATTGCTATAAGACTTGAATCTCCATCTGAGTTGTGAATATTATCAAAATTTATATCCTTAACAAAAGCATCAACATTGTAGCTCTATTTACCATCAACTCTAATAAATGGCAGTTATCCAAGAATTAAATTGCTAAAAGTATTATTAGTTATATTGACCTTGTAATAAATTCCTGCTATATACTCTAATGATAAAGTTATAAAGATGTTTGACTATCTCTTGACGTCAGTATTTCTAAATATATTATTTTTAATGTCAATTTTGATGTTAATGTCTTTTTCACAAGGAATTTTAAGAGTATCATATTAAATATTGAGGACATTACTAAAGTATTTTATATTTTCAAATTTATTATCAATCATGGTGAAGTTAACATTTTATTACATGTAAATCATCGGATTATACGTCTGAGTATTTATTCCAGTGAAGGTATTTCCAATGAGAATAAGATTTCCTGATTTGTTGCTTGAAAAATAGACATCACAATCGTTTATATTTTAATCATATATTAATGCTGCTTGGGTGATGTCGACGTAGTTATTTATCAAATACAAATTAGCACCTTGGGAAGCAAAGTAAATATATGACCTCAAGAAGAATTAGCATCCTTCAAAAATTATCCATTTATCAAAGTTTTAACCAGACTTTACCAAACTGTTTTCGAATGTTGATTCTTTTATTTGATATTGAGTAAAACTCAAACCCTTTATATATAGATTTGATCAATATGTGTGAAATTTATACTTTGAACCAGTAGCATCCATTTAAGACATTAGTTTTTATTTAACCTTCGTACTTATATCATAGTCTATAATTGAACCATCTGATCTTGTTGTTGGGTTAAATAATGAAATAGAAGCCCTCTCATAAGTTGACTCTACAATATTAATGAAAGTTTACTTATTGTTTAGAGCAGTCACTCGGTTATTGGTGTATTGACTAGGCATATATTAAATAAAAATGAATACCTTAAAGTAAGATATGTTTGGAGCAGTAATAGGGGTACTTGAGTAGAATACTGTGTAATATTAGTCCCTTCCCTTATCAAAATAGTAACTACAGGGAAATTTTGTGATTATTGATTGAAGATTTCTCTGAAGGGGTCATCAAGATTTTTATAGGGAAAATCGATTGTTCCAAGTTCTAATGTAGTCGTACTTTTATTTGAGTTATCAATATAAAAAACTTTATCTAAAAAAAGAAGATAATACATACTTAGTAAAATGATTACCTCTACAGTATCAAATTAGTGATTCAGAATTTATATCATCAAAATATTAGAAACTAAGCTAGTTTGTGGCACATTTAGAGACGCATTGAAATGTTTATAAATCCTTATACTGAGTTTTATCCTCGCATCTAAGACACCCAAGTATTGTAGAGTCAATACACGAGCCTAACTAGCAATATTAATTGCACTCTAGTATTCATTATTTGAAGGTAATTACATAAGCAGTTTTAAGCCTTTTAGCTGAAGTATTATCCAATACTGCACGATTAACAATAAGAATATTGAAAAAAGGATAGAATTGTCAAAATTAGTGAGCTCAATAGCAGCATTGCAATTCAAATAAGTTATCTTCAAAATTTAATATTCTTCCTAAAAGTTATCAATTAATATTATTTGTAAAATTTTGATCTTAAGTTTCCAAAATAATTATTTCTTCACTCCCTATTTACTCATGTTTACTCGTCTGGGGTTTTGGGGTTTTGGGGTTTTGGGG